TTCCCTACAAAGGGCATCCAAATAAGGAAACTAACATAGCATTTTAACAACCCCCACCTACAGTTAAAAGGAAAAAAATCTGGTTTCCAAATTATATGAACTCTGTTCTACCAGAAGTCATTGATACAGAAAACACTTCAGCGATTTCCAAGTTCATACAGTTCAGAAGCAATGTTTATTGTTTATAAAACAGTACTCCCTCAGCCTTTCCACACTGATTTCTAATTAATAGATCTCTTAAGAGAGTCTAATAAAGTCACCATTACTGTTCACATTTTTATGGAAGAAGCAAAAGGACAACGTGGCAAATCGGCTTACAAGATGCGAGTGGAAAAAATCCACTCATTTTGTTTAGCCCAATAAAGGGTTTTTGAAGTAGTTTTGTACCTACATCCTGCATTAAGGCTACATCAGCCTGGTTTTCTGGAGCAGTAAGATACAAGTCGAGCTAACGTCACCCTGCACTAGGTTACAGCTTCTTGCTGTTTCTTCAATAATAAATTCTTTTTTTTAATAAAAAAGTCAGTGATAGTTCTGCAGTTCTAGTTCTACATTATAGTTTCTGTTATGATAGACAGATAATGAATTCTGAATTAAATCAATGATGTTTCTGCATTATACCTTAGAATATGTCAGTTATAAACCCAGCCTCCTGACTCAGAACATCAAAGAGGTCATTGCAAAATGACTGCTGAACTGGTGGCTTTTACTTTGGTTAAACTCAAATTCTAGTACTTTTTAATATATTCAAAAGCAGCATTTCTTGGTCTACGTTTGCAGCTAGCTTGGTGTCTTATTTCAAATATTACAAAGGAACAGTTCTTATATTTAGCCAAAAAGGAGGCCAAAAGACTCCATGTCCACGCACGTACTCGGTTTCCTGGCTGCTGGCTCCCACTGTATTCCAAGGTTCTGAGCAAGACTTTGTGCTAATTCCTGTGCCATGGCCAAAGGGAGGCCATACTGCATTTCAAGAGGAGAGCGATTAAAAAAGAGAGGGAAAAACAAAAAAGAAAAAAAAAGAGAGTAGGTTATCATAATGAATACTACACCAGCTCACTCTGGCTTACATATCCACTACCTCAAAGTAATTTTGTCCAGCCAATCACAATTCTGTGTGCATATAAAGAAAATAACCACAATGAAATACTGAATGGAAGAAATCTTCCCCTCTTAGTCTGAGTGAATCTCTCTCCGCTGGTTGATCCGCACAGAAGAGTGCTCGATATATATGTAAAATAGTTTTCATATAGTATGATTAAACTCATGTCATAGCAATAGATTTGCATTATAGATTTAAAACTGGGTTGAGAAATTAAAAAAAAAAAAATCTATACAAAGGGATCACATTTTTCTAGCTTTAATGTCAAAAAGAAAAAAAATTATTGAGAGCTACATATCATCTCCCCTTACAGTGAGAAGGCCCAACAGGAATTTCAAAGCTGCATTTCAAATACTCAAGTCTGAGATTTTTGGTCTAAATTTCTGTCAGGCATTCTGAAAAACAATTCAAGATCCTAATGACAGTATAATGCAGATAGAAGGAATGCTTTTTAAAAAGTGAAGTACAGGGGGGAATAGTTTAAAGATGGTACATGAACTTTGACTGTGACAAAGTTAACTTTTAAATATTTTAGTGATGCTTTCAAGTTATCTTTAAAGCCCTGAACACTGAAATTATATATAAACATCGAGGTTACAACATACAGTTCCTACTTTATTTCATTTTAGTGGTGAAAAGAATTACCTCATTCACTCCTACTCCTCTGGTCACAGAACAAACCCCTCCAAAGTAACTTAGGCTGCTCCTTTTGTAATGAAATGTCACGTTCCTTATGAACAAATAAAAATAAAGAAAATACAGCAAATTGACACTGGACACCAAGAGCTTCCTGAAAGATCAAGCTTTCAAACATGGTACAATAAATTACATGCATATTAATCTCCATCTAACATCAAAAGTTATTGTAAGTTTACAAACAGAACTTAGACAACAAAGGAGTTAGCTAGATACAACCCTAAAAAAATACTATTTATGTTGTAAAGTCAGTATCAATCTCAATCTAGAAATAAACGAAGCAGAAAAAAATAAGTGTACCAGATTCTTAAGAAAATGCAATTATAACATTTCCGCTAAAAAGATAACAATGAATATGTTCCACTTCATAATCTGTCAAGAAGGAATTCTGTACTGAAATGTATCTGATCAGCGTTGAGCATTTCTGAAATTCTGTTCTTAAGCCAAAATGATTCAATTTTCTGTTTCAACTCCAAATTAAGACAGATAAGTATACCTAAGGGGAAAGTAATTTTTTTTTTTTTTTACCCTGCCTCCCTTCATTTTCCATTAATTGTTGTGCTTTTGTTTTTGAACAATTGATAAATCATGTAGCAATTACCTTTAAATACATTTATTTTTTAAAAAGCAGCTAAGCTCCAAACAATTTAGTTGTGTGAGTTAATATAATTTGCAAGACAAATTATTTTATGAAATATCTTTAAACAATTATGAATGATACATACTTTAACTTCATGGTCATAACAACAAATCTATGCAGCCTTAGGCTTACATAACAAATGACCCTGGCAGCCTTTGACAATGAAATCCTCTTGTAATAGCTGAATCAATGTCCCTTTTTTTTTTTTTTTTAATGGAAGGTATATTTTTCAGTTCCCAGAAGCAGTCTGAGAGCCATCAGAACTTCTGAATTGCAGCCTAAAACTAATGCTTTTGAAGCTTAATGCTTCAGAAGAGACAGAATCACAGAATGGTTGAGGTTGGAAGGGACCTCTGGAGATTGCCTAGTCCAACCCCTCTGCTAAAAGCAGGGTCACCTACAGCAGGTTGCCCAGAACAGTATCCCATTAGGTTTTGATTATCTCCAAGGATGGAGACTCCACAACCTCTATGGGCAACCTGTCCCAGTGTTTGACTACCCTCACAGTGAAAAGGTTTTTTTTCATGTTTAAACTGAGTTTCTTGTATTTGAGTTTCTGCCTATTGCCTCTTATCTTGTCACTGGATAAGACGCCTCCTGCCACGGAGAAGAGTCTGGCTCCACCCTCTTTATTCTCCCTCCCATCATATTTATTCACAGTGACAAAATCTCAGGGTCACCTACAGCAGGTTGCCCAGAACAGTATCCCATTAGGTTTTGATTATCTCCAAGGATGGAGACTCCACAACCTCTATGGGCAACCTGTCCCAGTGTTTGACTACCCTCACAGTGAAAAGGTTTTTTTTTCATGTTTAAACTGAGTTTCTTGTATTTGAGTTTCTGCCTATTGCCTCTTATCTTGTCACTGGATAAGACGCCTCCTGCCACGGAGAAGAGTCTGGCTCCACCCTCTTTATTCTCCCTCCCATCATATTTATTCACAGTGACAAAATCTCCAAGCCTTCTCTTCTCCAGGTTGAACAGTCCCAGCTTTCTCAGCCTTTCCTCATATGAGAGATGCTCCAGTCCTTTAACCATTCTGGCAGCCCTTTACTGGACTTGGTCCAGTATGTCATGTCCCTCTTGTACTGGGGAGCCCAGCACTGGACACAGCACTCCAGATTTGTCTCATCAGTGCTAAGTAGAGAGGAAGGATCACCTCTCTCGCCCTGCTGATAAAACACTCCTCCTAATGCAGCCCAGGATATCTCCCTAACCCAAAACAGAATGTGACATCTGTAAAATTAAGATTCTTTAGATATTATTATTTGGTCAGATTTTGTTAGAATATGATTGCAATTATATTTGTTTCTCAGTGTTTGCTGGATACATTTAATAAAACTGGCTGCTCATAACAACCTTATTTCTACTTTTTATTGTGAAGAATACCAGTGTTCCAGAACATTGTGGAAGAGAGCTGGGTTTGATTAACTTTCTTGTAATTTTTGAGCATGATAAACAGCAAAAGGCGTAAAACTGACCAGTCTGCAGGCATAAGCTGGGATCTTATTAGATGCACCAAGTTACTTCCAGTAAGTTCAGGCCCTGCACTGGACTGTTATCCTTTCCAGATTTGTTTTTATTCTGGACACTTTCATCTTTCATTCCAGATAGCTGGACAGCTGTGATTTCATCTTGTTTGGAACCTCATCCTGCAGTTCCGCTGATTTTTATTTAATATATTCTTTTTTCAGGGATTATTTTATAAAATAACACTTAACTATGTGAGAATTCAGTTACACAAACAAATACATTCAGGCAAGATTCCTGCAGCACTCTTCAATCACTTCTCTTTGTTAAAAAAGGAGAAATATACTTTATGTTTACAAATGAATCTTACTTCATAACCACATAACACTTAGAGATCCAGAACATCTATTCAGTAAGTGACACAACACATATATAAAAGGAAATAAACTGCACATCACCGGCACCTTGTGTATCTTATGAAAAATGCAATTAGTCTTGTATTGTAATGTCTGTTTTAAGGCAGCGCAGTTATGGCAGAGGCTGGAGAAGCTTCTTTATCCCCTTTGTCTTCCTTTGCAGAAGATTAATGCTAAGAGAACCAAATGGAGGAGATTTCTTATTCCATCCTCCATAGCAGGGCAAGCTGCTGGGAGAAGGCTTAAGATCTTTATGCAGCACCTGGGAATACAGTTTTCCTCCTCTATCCGTACAATGCTGTGCAGTAAAAAATGCTGTTGCTCAGGGTTGATGTTATGCCCAATGATGCAAGTGGAATTTCCCTCAAAATACGTAGCAGCTCAGAAAAAAATTCATTACTGCTCTAAGGAAGGAGAGCTTCCAGTACCTAATGTCACACCAGCTGCATGCATGAATAAATACAATAACTGGAATGCTCTTGTGGAAATGCATAATAGTGTTAGCTCTGCCCTCTCCTGCTTTTCACTAGGAAAGCAGTAAGTACATTAGAGAGTTCATTAACAAAACTAAGTATCATTAGGAGCTCGTCAGAAGACACTTCAAATATGTGAACATGGTCTCCCAGTTGCCAAGACATTAAAATTTCATTATATATATATATATATATATATATCAATGTGACCATGGTATATACTGCACACATTTAAAACAGACTAACACATTTTAAAAAAAATCAAAGTTACTACGGAAGGCAGATGTTGATTGATGTAGTAATTACGAAGTAAACAGGAAGAGACAGGTAGACAAAAGCAGTAGATATAGAAGTATATAAAGCTATAATGATCTAAACCATCGTTAACAGTACATACGAGAGCAGGTGGACAGCATCAGCATGTTGTTTGATGTAGTGTTGTCGATATTTGGAGAAATCATGAAGCATCTGCAGAGGGTCAGGGTGAATATTAATACGATCTCTCTCTGTCCAGGTTTCCACAGCAACGAGAACCACCCTGGTGTTCAGCTGCTCCTTGTATATCTGAGGGCAGAGACAGGACAGGCACAGGAGTAGAACACTGGGTCAAACATGCACAGTTAGCCAGCAAGAGTAAAGCGGAAGGACAAGAGGGATAAAGCAGGAGGGAAACATGGGCAAACAGTTAGCTGGTATGCCTTGGATTTCCTAAGAGTTAATCTGCTCATCATCTTAAATTTTGTTTTAGAGGACAAAATAACTTGCTGCGCTTTTTTTGAGCTATCCTCTTCTCTGTATGAGTCTCATGTCAAATAATTTCACCACTGAGTTATGCACAAAACCCATACAAAAATCAGCAAAGTAGAAACGTTAAGTAAACACTGAGATCGCAGTAGACGAGGAAAAGCCAGAGGCAATTCTTAAGTCAAGATTAAATACCTTCTCAGTCTTCCCCAATGTGCCCAAAACTTAAGTCACATACAGTTTGATCTTCATTTACAGTATGATCACTTTATGCTGCTAAAACTATGTGAGAAGGAAATTAAGAGTATTAACATTTATATCAATTTTAATGTCACTGAAACAGTAGATGAGTAGATCACAATTAGGTCTTAAAAACTACAAAAGAGCTGAAAAATATCCATGTTAATTTTGTTCAGGATATTTGCTTCTGAGATAAAACAGTAGCTCTCTATAAGTTCAGGCCATAAAACGCCGAATTTTATTAACTAACGTATTGAGAAATTGAAGATCTACAAGAGAGATTCTTTATCCATAACTGACATTCTGCTTTATGTAGGGCATGAAGTACCTTTACTGATCAAATATATTTCGTTGTGATCTAAAAACACCGGATGATTCATACACTGGCTGCTTAATCCATAAAATATACAAACACTAATTTACTAGGTTATCTCCACAAGTCGCCATATTAAACATACTATTTCATTATCTTTTTTTCCAAATTATACTTACGATACACAACACGAATTGCAAATATCCTCCTGCAGTTATGATAGCTACATACGCTGAAAAAATTAACACTTGCTGGCATGCTTTTTTGTATCAAAGGCAGCGTTATCCTTATAAAAAGTTGATGGTATAATATTCAGCTTAGAAAGACAACAATAAACACAGGAGCAAGAGAGGGAAACCAGGCAAGCTTAATTTTGTCCAAGAACTTTTAAGGAAAAAAGAATATTAATATGCCTTACTCTGAAGGAGCTAGGCTGAGAATATACACAAGAAAATGGTTAACTCCATGAGAGAAAAAAAACAATAAAATTAAAACGCAGAGATTGTACACAGCTGGATCAACAGAGCCTTTACACGTGTTTGCTGAGAAGAAAACTATTTCCTGAAGTGAATAGAAAGGGAAGGATGAAAGAGGGCTCAGAGAAACTGGCAGTCTCTGAAAGCCAATACCATTTTTCCAACAATATTTCAGTAAGAAATAGAGTCAACTCCCTATGAACACAAGGGAATAACAAGGCAGAAATTCCTGCTATTTTTCATGTTGCATTTGAAGAGAGGAGGAACTGTTCACAAAAACACGCACACACACACACCAGAGCAAAGCAAGATGGAAAAACAGAAAGAATAGTTCCAGAAAGGAAAGACAGATTAAATAGTTGTTGTTGAAATGCAGAGGAAATACCAAGAAACAATGACCAGAAGAGAAAGAAATGAAGATGCCACCATTTCTTTGGAAATACGCAATATAAAGTGCACAAATATTATTCTTTCCAATTATTTATATCTTTATCTGCTCTAGTATCTTTTATTCAAACTACAGGCATTTTCAGATTGTTACTGGAAAATATTTCAAAATATTTCCAGTATTTCATATACAAAAAACATATTTACCTAAATTTTCAATGTACATTGTATTCTATAGGCAAGATCTTAAGTACATATCCTGCACTGCCTCCTCTATACTAAGCAAACCATGGACAACATTTTGCACTGAATCATATCACACAGCTCTATTGGTATCAGTGATGTTGCATGGAAAGCGGACTGCAAGTCACAATTTTGATAGACATTGTGTTCACGACTACTAGAGAATCCATCCTGCTTTCACTACAAACACAGCTCCAAATGTGTGTGGTTGCTGCCCCCAAAATGAGATAAAGCCAATTTTTGTCATAATTCTTACTTTTAGTTTATATGCTCTATGTAAAATTACTCTGATTTTACTCAGAGATAAGTGTGGCATCTGGGTCAGTGCCACCCATTTATAATGTACTATAATGAGATTTTTTTGTTTTTAAACTGTAAATACAGAGTTATAAAGGAGAATTTCTATTCACACCTTCTGTTTTTCTCCCAATAAATGGGTGTATCCTTTCTGAACTACAACCACAGCTTCAACCACTTATGGCAACTATGAACGTTTCATGAATTTAAGGGTTTCATGAACCTAAACTTCAAAAAATTTCATCCTCCAAGCAGTAACAGATGCTGAAAGAGCCTTCAAAGTTCCAAATCCCCTCTGCCAAAGGTAAACTATGGCATTTGCAAGCTTTGAGAAAAACATCACGAATAATTTGGTGGTTTCTTACACATTTACCGCTAGCTATTTTTCTGCAGGGAAACTGGAAATGAGTTTAAAAATTTAACTCTTACCACTGCTCTTTATATGTATATTTTTTTCTCCTGATATCTGCTAATATGAACTTTCTAAATATGGTGCTAGAATAATAAAGTCACTGATACAGTTTTAAGAACTCATAGTGATACTTACAGCATCCACAAGGTTTACCACAGACTTGGCAAAATTGTTTGTGTATGCGTTTGAAGAACGATGTTTTTTGAACTAGAAGGAGAAAAAGAAATAGAAAACAATGAGAACCTGAATATTTACTACCAATTATTTTTACAACAAGGAAGGAAACCTAATATTTTGAGGCATCCTAAGGGAAAACTCAAAACAATCCTCTTCCCAGATCACAGCATATATTTCACTTTCAAGAAGCCTTGCAAGATGAAGGAAGCGCTGGCTGCTAGAACGCTGCCAAAAGGAACATTTAGCCATAAGTAGTATCCTATTTAGAACCATGGTTCAAATGTTCAAAAGAAAATTCAAAGTAAACCGATTCCTCCAGAGCTCATAAACAAGACCTCAAAACTGAGAAGATGCTGTATCCATTAAAACCATGCTTAACCTGATGAATTAAATACCAAACTCTGCTAGCCATATATCATGACTATAAGACATGAAGATGATCCCTTTATCATTTGTCCTGTGTACAGCTCTCTGTAAAGCTAACCTTCCTCTGCTATGGGACCAGATTTTTATGATCAGTTATGCCAACAAGCAAAAGAAAGAGGAAACGCTTGCTAAAAGCAAACGTGTATTTGAATATTGAAAGAGTTATGTTAGATATCTTTTATGCTCTTAATTTTAAAGTTCTTCTGTTTTTGTAGATTTAGATGAGCCGTACTGCAAGTTCTGCTTCCTAATTCCTGTGCATGTCGATGTAACAGTTACATGCAAAGTCCTCTCTGTTCAAAGTCAAATTTGCCAAAGATGCTGCCTGCTATGGTATCTGAGTATGAATCCATGACTTAAAAGTAAAGTTATAAATCAAAACTGTATTACAAACTATGATTTGAAACGAGAAAAATACATTCTTCAGAATTTGACAGAAAACATAAAATTGCATAGAAATCGCATAGCAGGGTAAAGCGTTCATTAAAAAATCTTAGTAATTTCAACTGCTGCTTAAAAGCAACACATCTCTTCACCTAATGAATGACATTATCAGGTTCCACAAAAGCGTCAGCTACTCTTACTCTGAAACGTGGCACCCCATGTGAGGCCTTGAAACAAGCGGGTCCAGACTATTCTCTCAGCAACTGAGGAGTTCCTCTCACGCAAAAGTTTGAAACGTGATCAACTACCCTCCTAAATCAGAATTACAAAACAGAAACTCCCTGGTTTCCATGATTATGCTTGGAGCCATGTTGAAAACAAAACTGAAAGACTTACAAACTGAAATAATCTATGTTTCCCAAATTGAAAGTCAAAAGAGTGATCTCAAGAGATATGAAATCCCCAATACATTATTAGGTAACAAATTTTTTGTTCCCTTAAATTCCAGTTATTTTTGCACAAGTAATGCAGTTTTATACCCATGAAATGCCATACAGACAACACACAGTCCAAACTCTTCAATACTGGCTGCAGCTCATTCATTTGAATGCAGAAAGATAAGGTTTTTTACACACATATTCGCTGTTAAGTTGCACGATCCTCTCTTACCTGCATATGCACAGATGGTTTTAACACCCCAAAATTCTATTGTATAGGTCTGCATGGACCCCACCCCTATAACTATTCTCAAAACAAAGTGCTTTCAGTGCTAGTAGGAGCTTGAAACTGTACACTGAAAATAGTAGCCATATCACAGGATTCTGTTTGTTCCCTAGGCAACCACCACACCAGTACAAAATAATGCAGGGGGCCATTAGGGAGGGGGAAGAATTGCTTTGTTTTTTGTTTTAAGCCAATCCCAAGCTTTCCCAGAAGTGGAAAGCTAAAATAATATGCTTGGAGAAATGTTCTTGGCTTTCAGGAATGTATTTATTTACTAAAACCAATATTGATACGGACTGATTACACATTTAAACATAATTTCTAAAACAGAAATTAAAAAGATCAAGCCTATAAAAAGTGAAAAAACTTAATTAAATAAATTTAACTGCGTCTTCAGTGCTACAAGAAATGTAAGTTTTGTGAAAATTTGTAATATTAACCACTTAACAACATAATGTCCAAAGAGGTTTAAGACAATCGCTTCCAATGCAGAACCTTGTTACAGGAGAAATCTGCCCTCTACTGGTAAGCAGATAACCTTAAAAGTACACTTAACGAGCTCTGCATTGGTAGCCCTTAACTTGTAACTGTGAACACTTCCTTAAGTATATCCATTTTACTCCTTGAAAAGCATCATTACCTGCTTCTGAGTCACTGACAACTCTGAAGCAAATAATGTTGAATGCTTGTGGTCTAAAGTTGTGACAAATAAAGCTTGAGATGAAACAACAATTAGTGCTCATAACAAGTGTAGTGAACAGGGTGGTCATCCTTTAAGCACCTGTCTAACATGAGACACCAGGGAAACAGACATACAAATATTATCTCTTCATAAGGGACACCAACCACAGACCTCAGACAAGATGACAAAATGTTTTTAACTTCAGTTACTGCGTGCTACCTCTATACAACCACCATGTGAGAGTCACTCTTAGAACACAGTTTCCTACCAGCTGGCATTACAAGCGAGAAGGGTTTAAGAAGTTCCCACCCTACTTCCCCCACTCATTTGCATTCTCACCACACTAGTGAAGTGACACAGATGAAATATAGATCATTTTTAGCCCAGACTACTTCTATGATTTATTAACCAGAAATGAGGAAAGTTACCTGTCTATTTAGCACTGAAATGAGTACACAATACTGCATCCTATTCTGATCCCAACTATTTCTGACTCTTAAAAATCCTCCTTCAGTGTTGACAAAAGAGCCCCAAACAATCACATACAGTATTGGGAAAATATGCAGTAGAATGAGAGAGAATCCAGGAGCTCCATACATTTACAGAAATTTAAAACCTGATTTTACTTGCACATGAAATAAACAGAAACTGTTTTATCAATATAATTTGATTCAAAGAAAAAAAAAAAAGTCTTGTTCACATAGAAGCAAAGTCACACTAAGAGTTGATACCCAGAAAGCTATGCAAGGCAAGGCCAATCTCAAAATGAAACACATTCAAGTTGCTATTAGAGTAACTTGCTGTGGGTTGCAGAACTTTCTTCATCACTAGAAAATCTTTAAACCCACACTGAGTAATTTTTCGTAATAGATATGGCTCTTGCTAAAATGTAGCTATTGGATTCAAAGAAAGAGCTATTGGATTCAAAGAAAGAGCTACTTCAGAAAAGTCCTGCAGCCTGTATGTTTAGAATACCAAAGCAGTCTCACCATCTACCAATGTACCAAAACATCAACTATTCACCAGAATAAAACACAGCACAGGGTATACACATTCTAGGACTTTAACAAATAAATATCACACAGACCAAGCTATTTCTTCTGAACCTATGTCTACAACCTACTGCATGAATAAAAGACTTCTCTAGTGTAGATCATAAATGGAATTGTCATCTTTGGCTTGTAATACAAAACTCTGATGTCAAAAATTTTCATTCTACAGGAAAAAAAACCACTAAAAAAACAAGGCTTTGTCATTCATTTGGAGACTATTTAAATTAAAGCATCTTTTTGGACATGATTTTGATGAGCTGTTATTTGCATTAAATCATAAACTAGGTAAAAGAAAAAAGGTCATAAAGTTAGTGTGAGAATCTGTCAGAATGCTTGCACATCGGGTCTCTGCTGTACACCTAAGCACGCTTCTATCATCCAAACATTTTCATCATGCCTCCAAGAAAGACTACTTCCCTATTCCTCCTTTTCTGTAAAGATGTGATACAAATGAAGAAAGATTTACTAATCTAGTTTCTCTTTAAAAGGAAAGTCCCTGAAGAACAGAGCTGGCCTATCTTTCCCTCTCCTCCCAGTAGTTCTCACTGAAAAAAAGTCATCAAAGACATCTGCATTTTTACCAGAATAATTTCAGAGAAAAAATTTGAGGGAAAGAAGGCGGAAGGCGAATATAATATATAACTTTACAAAACTTCAGACTGTGGTAACAACAATCAACTTCTAGCCAACAGTTTAGTGGTTCAAATCTTTGATGAAGATGTGAGAATTGGACATGAATCTCCTACTTCTGACCACAGAGATTTGAACATGCATCCCCAACCTCTTAGGAAATACTGTCTTAATCATTAGGCTGCAGAATAATCTAAGGTTAGAGCACTGTTGATCTCTTTGGTGATACTACTGGGTATCCAGACACCTGTGATGTTCTTCAAAAAGGTTCTTAAAATAGTTGTCGAGGCTTACAGAACTTATTACTTCCTAGGCCTCACTTTTTGGATTTACTCTTTTTTTTATAGTGGTAACACACTGACGTTTTGATAGCTCACCTTACTTTGCATAATTAGTGAAAGCAACGACATTTAAATAACATGTCACCTGGTCTGATTTTTTTCCCCCATTATCCCTCAAGGCAAAAAGGAAAAAAAATCCTTTTTTTTTTTTTTTTTTAATTACAAATGTCAAACACTTGCCTGAATCGAACAAACTCTTTATCTTGTATTTCATTATGAATCCTGTTTATAAGCATAGAATAATCAGGAAAAATAATGAGATAGTTTTGTCTATATGCTTTGCCACATTCAATTTTAAGTTAGCAGAACTGAACTCAGGGTAACAAGTTCTGACCTCTCTCTTTTTATTCCTCTAAAGATAGGATGCAATTTTAGAGTCTGACAGTGAATTTATTTCAGACAGAAATGTTTTACTCCATTACTCTATTGTTTCTGGGCATATTAAATTATACATACTATACCAAAATGTTTCAGACATATTTTGAATATTTAAGTGCTATAGAAAATGCTAGATATCATCAAACATTATTAAGTACTATGGCCTGTACTCTGTCTTATAGTAAAATGGTAGTAACTGCTGACATATAAAATACTTCAGCCAAAAGAATCTGATGAGGCACGATGCTGTAAATCAACCTACAAATTCTGATCAAAAGGAAGATTACCAGTGAACTGATATACCTACCATTTTATGGTCATTGACTATCATGAGCTCCAGATATTTCATCTCCTCAAAGATACCACGAGATGCCTGAAGGATTGAAGACATATTTTCAGAAATCATGAAGCTGTAGTAACTTTCAAAAAATAACTGTAGTTGATTTAATAGGATTACTCATAAGTATTTCGTAGGGTGTGTAAACTGTCATAACTGGGTCAGCTCCTCAACTAGGGTAAATCATCATAGCTCCGCTAACTTTGTGAGTTATGATAATTGACACTGGCTTAGAATCTGAGTCACATCATTTGGAATAAGTTTAGAGTCAATTCTTTTGGTTTGGCACAGAAGCAGTCACTGCTTCCCTCCTCTCTCGTTTTCACAAAGGAGAAAAATCTCAAACACTAAAAGCTTAGTTTACTGTACTATTCATCACAGATTTAAGGAGGAAGTAAATTACTAAAAATAGAGGGGCCTCAAAAATATACTGTGTATTGTACAACTCAGTGCAGAAATACAAATTAATCATCTTAAACTCATGCATTTCACTAGCTCTGACACATATGTGTGCACAGATCATGTGGACTGTCCACTTCTGTTCTCTCAATAACCCAGTTCTGGATGACCTCATTTGGAGTTTTTCCTCTGTCATGCTACGTAATGAGCCAAATGAAAATAAAGTCAGATAGTAGCAATAATCCTTCATCCAGGATTATTCTCTGTCCACGAGCAGACTCAAAACATAAAATTCATCATTTCCTAAACTCATTTTCACTATTAAACTTCTGTTATTTGGTATACAGTATTGCTGTCATTATTTTCTCAAAATATTCAAATTTTAAAGAACAATCTTGTTGTTTTGTTTGAAAATTGTACTGTGTGACACTTGAGGGTACCAAAAGATATTTGTTTGCCAAAGCCTATGTTCACACAAAATTAAAGAATGAGAAAATGAATGCTTTTTTATAAGTGGTCTCAACTCAGAATCACACTTCTACTCACTGCTCTCTTTCTTCTCTTTCTCCTCAGCCACTGCAATTCAGCTAGGAAGGGCCATTCAGAACTAGATTCAGTCTCTGCAGAAAACAGAATTTAAGAATTTCATGACATTACTTTAAACTACTGATGTACGCTCTCCAAATCAAAAGTACATGAGATTACCAAAACTAGAATAACCTTTGATATTTGAAAGTTCATTCTTTAAAATTCACAAAACAAAATATCTCAACTCAAGTAATTTATCAAAACTCAAGTAATTTAGAAATCTAAAGTTAAAATTAAAGCATGCATGGGGAGGTAAAGAGACTATAACCTGAGCTTAGAATAGATGTTCTCTTTCATCTCTTGCCTTCAACAGCACTAATATCACTGACTAAATTAAAAGATTTGTAGAATAAAGCTAAATACAAGCCTTGATGGATGGAAAATTTTCAGCTGCTTTTTAACCGCGCTGGATTCCATTGCAATAATTGCAAAAAAAAAAAAAAAAAAAGAAAAAAAAAGAAAAGGAAAAAAAAAAGTCAGTTTACTATCTATTTTTAAAGTTTGTCTAAATAATTAGCTATTTAATATAGGCTATATTAGCCTAATATTCAAATGTTCAAGTTATACATACAGTTATTTCCAACACTGAAAAACTCAGAACATCAGCAAAAACATACCAAGATCTTGCAACTGCTTGGAGGCTTGCGTTCCGTAAGTTCTCTGGATGATGTGCGGCCTACTTTTACTTTCCTGGCAAGAAAAACACGTGACATTTTCTTCTTATTAATAATGTCAAGGTAAAGTGAGGCACCTCTTCATTATTTAACATATTTATTATTTTTCCACAAAATGCAATCAACTATAATACCAATTTGACATAGCACCAATTTAAAGCAATCTGTTTGCATTCCTGAGCAAATCACGGAGACTCTATGCTTCAGCCCATTCTCTGTCCTACAAAACTGAAATATAACAGATGTCTTCGAGATTACTTGAAAAAATTCCTTTAAAGTCCTTAGTGTTACGGAATACAAAACATTTTTTCCACTAAATCAAAGACTATGTATCTAGACAAAATCTTCCTCTGCCATATGAAAAGCAAGGACACCTTTAATACCATATCACAGAAATGTAGTTTCCTAATTGCAGCAAAATGCATGAAACTAAGCAAAAGATACCTTCAAGAGGACTGTTTTAGCCAGGTTTAAATGCTGAATACACCAACAAAAAGGAGAACACTTTTAATGCATGTTTTCTTTAGAAGCCTCACATGCCCCAAATTATCGCATTTTGGTATCTGCTCTAGAACGCACCTATTTTTTCTTCCTTAAAACCTCTTCTGCAGAGCTAGGCCAAAGGAGCAGTTCTTTTCAAAGGGTACGACGCTATTTTTCTGTAACTCCTGTGAGAAATACTTAATGCACTGAAGGAAAACACTGCACATATTTCCTGGGTTTCTGTGAACAGAATTTATTTGATATAGCATCTACCATATTCAATCAAGCTGACTAAACCACATGCTGAAATTGATATTAGCTGTGGCCAAGATATTTATCTCATATAGCACTAAGATGAGCCTCTGAGAGCTCTCTGTAGCTATACTATTTTGATCTTCAGCAGTTTTCAGAAAAATATTCATCTCATTTGTCCTCTTACGGCTCAAATTTCTGCTTGAACCCTCATCAGACTTCATCGATTATATTTAGTTTTTATAACTAGCATTGTACTTAACGGACAGTTTATAGAACCAGGGGGGGTTTTTTGGCTCTACTTTCAAGTTTTACTGAAATAACACATGGAGAGAGATTCTATTTTTCTTGAACAGAACCTCCTAATTTTCTGACTACTCATGCAAAAGAATCACAATTTTGTCAAATTCTCCTCTGCCTGCTATATGAATACCACTGTATAAAATAACATTTTGATGTGCTACATCAAAATGCAACACATAGCTTACCACACGGAACATAATGCTGTTCCTGAGGACAGTGAGAAACACTGGTCTTCTTAAGGTGAAATGCTTTCCAAAGTTTCATTCCCATAGTTTCATTTACAGACCAAGAATTAATAATCCAAATGATACCAATTCCTCTGCATGTTTATCCAGTCTACTTTAAAAGCGTCAAGAGTCAAAGATTTTGCAGAACTTTCTCTGAACTCCAAGTTCAGCTTTACAGTGAGTGAAACATAACAGTTCTACAGCATTATGTTATTTATCATACACCGGTAAGCACTGGAGAGAAAAGCTTGAGAGCTACGGCACAGCATCTATAATACATCCTACAGACAAACAGGACACAAATATTAAGAATTCCCTATCTCAATGCTGCAAAATAATTTTCTTGAAAATCATTCAAATCCTTAGACCATTCAAGAAGTTGAAATACATACTGGTTTTACATACTGTCTATGAAATGTAGTCAGTTCTATTAACAGCCAAAATTTTAGGAACAGCCGTAAAATTATAATACACTTAAGATGATGCACCAAAATAATTACGGTTAAGACGACATTTGCATAAAACAGTCCCAAACACTGATCCAGCGTATTCATGTGTTTGGGTCAGAGTAATTTAAGCTATATGGTGACCACAGACTTTATACCTAAAAGCTGTATGACACCCAGATATAATTATATCTAATTCATTAAGCTCCTTGCGGAAACACAGTAGATCAAAAAGCAATCTCATCCCACTTCAAAATTGGATCCAGCCTTTTTGAGAGATGGATCAGATGACTTCGAGAGTTTCCTTCCATGCATCTATAAATCCTCGAGTCCAAGTAACAAATCAAACTTATACACTCTTTTTGCTAGTTCATAACTATCTGCTACGGTAACACAATCTCACTAATCTACTTCAAACATCTAAAAGATTAACAATGACTAGAAAAGGAGTGATTAAAAAAAGCAGAGAAAAATCTTAAGTAACTCACATTTGCACAGTTCTTGCCTTAAATAAATACCAACTAGGTATTTTAAAAGAACATGTTTGTTTTTCATATGAACGCATGACAGAGATGACTCCTCTGTTGATTTATCCTAATACTTTTATTAGCTATTCCTTGTGCAATCTCTTTCTCAAACAAAATAAAATATAGATCAAAATAAACTTACTGCACTGTGGGTCAAATTCATTGGTTCTATCAAGTACAAGTACGTACTATCTTCAAACATGCCACTAGAACATGGAGAAACAGAATACAGAGATTTAGGATTATCATACAAATTTATTTGACTCCAGTATATGTTTTCGGATGAGATGAAACCAAACATAGGGTTGAAAAACTGATCAATACTAAAATAAATCCCACACATACTTGTTACTAATAGATATGGCTAAAATGCAAAATTAATTTTGTGATAGACCAGATACTTTGTAGTGGACTAACACTGAATGTCAATGGGAATGTAACAGTAAAACATCACAAAGAATAAAGATTTGACTTTGGAGAGAGGCAGCCCTGAGACAGAAATTAGCATGCAGAATGTAATTATCAGCTGAATTATACTGAACAGTAACTCGTCTTAGTAAGGACTATTTCTTACATTCTTTCCTCACACGACCTAACAAAAAGATCAATTTTTCAACAGCCTGATATAATCATACATGAGTACCCAGTATACAAACTGCTGAAGTACAATTCTTGTTTATATTCTGTCACAGTCAGTCATCTCGGTGAAGTATGTATTGGTACTTACCATATTCAAAGGCTTCATGAGACAGTACCAAAAATCTTAATCCTGATGATACTAAAAAATGAGTTAGCAGTTTGGTATAGCTGTACTGATCATTCAAAACACCAACACCTTGGGGCATGTAGAATGTCAGCCCATCACACGTTAAGAGATAACACCGAAGAGCAGCAACCAGCTAATAGTCTTGTTTGAAAAATGAGAAAGCGCACTTACTGAAGCCCATTACAAGTTGAGAGAGCAGCTTTGGAATCCTTGATACCTCTGATATTTCCATGATAGTAACAATGCTCTCCACCCTAATAATGTTAAAAACAAACAAAACAAAAAACAACACAAGCAAAAAGTTACTGTTATTTTATGTATGTTGCTTAAAACCAAGGTGAAAATTACCTAACATCTTGAATCAGATAAAACTTCAGAGAAAGGAGTGACTGCTAAATTAAATGCCAATAATTAGCCCTGATTGGGGGATAACAAGAGGGAAACTTACTGTGCCCAGTAAAGACTAACTCATCTATGGCTCTAAGACATTCTTTTGTTGAAGTCATACAGTTTGTTTGTTTTTTTTAAGTGCAGTTCTTTGCTGTAAACTTTTTTGTAAAATTTTTGTAAAATTGTGATTTTTTTGGTAAAATTTTGTTAAAATGTTATCTAATCCAAATTACATGACTATGACTTTTGAGTTGTTTCGTAGTGTGTTCCAGTTCTGTTAAAATTACAAGAATACACTGCATGCATTTGGCTCAGCGCTGGATTCTGCCAAATCAGTTTTGATTTTCTCATTAAAAATGTATCAATTAATACATTACTTCATTAGAACGGAGGTAGCAACAGTACTGATGACGTCTGAGCCAGAAAGTGAATTCAGCTTAGCAATGCTGAAGTGTGCAGTTCCATTTTCTTTTCACAGACAAAAGACTAGTAAAAGTCAGCCTTTGATGCTTAACTAGATAAAATTATGAGCAGACACAAACACAAAGTATTTAAAAAAAAAGTAGGATTTTTGCATTTTTATAAACAAATCAGTAGTCATGTTTTAGAAAAAAAGCTGCTTTTTTAAAAAAATGGTATTTAAATGACCTCCAAGTGTGTTTAAACTTTAGAGACTCTTTAAAAAAAAGACTCAGACAAGCTAAGTCCAGAACTGCAATCCAGACCCTCAGTTCTCAAAAGCCCTAATGATACATAGGAAGTGAAGACGCATCTGAATGCTGAGATGTTACATGTGAGCCATAAGGAGCAGGAAGGATTGTGCTGACTAGAATTAGTGCCAAAAGTGCTAGCAAATGGGGTAAAATGAAATTCTATAGTTTGCCACAGGCAGGTGAGGGAAACCGCAATAAGTGTACATGGGGGGCACAGGATAAAGCAGGAGACCAAACTTCCTCAGAGAAGAATTGGTACGTACTTAAAATCTTAAAATTCTGATCCAGAAAAACCTTGCTCAGATGCCATCTAAGCTCCAGAGAATGAAGCTTTCTTCTTCAAAGTGCAGGTTCCCTGAGTCTGCCTGGTTCTGTATCTTACCATGAGCTAAGTCACACTCTCCTTTCCTGAAGCAACTAGTTCCTGTCTAAGCTCTCCTTAAAGTGGGCAGAGAAGCAGCCAAGTCCTCCACAGGGACTTTAAGCATGCTCAGAACATGCCTAACAGAGCAACAAGACTGGGATCCTCACATAACAAAGTTGCGGTAGCTTTCTTTTTGAAGTACAGACCATTACATGAAAATAGCCCTCTCTGGTTAATGACTACAGCACTTAACCCAGGTTTCACAATTCCTGAATAATTTCCTTGATCACTTTGAGGAGAGTCAGCTGGTTATCTATCTGTTTCCTAAAAACACGCTCTGTGTTGAAGCACCCTCTACCAACCATGCTGGAGCTGTTCCATTCAGTAGAAAATGCACAGATTCATGCAGTCACAAAGAGGGAGCATGACTCTATACCAAAGAGGCTAGTAAGCTCTTCTAGGCAGAAGTCCTAACAGCAGACTACAATATATAAATGATTTAGATGAGAAATTCAGAAATAATTGCATTGTCAAGCTACCATCTGCTGTTTGTCAAAAATTCCTAGTGTCAAAACAGTTTCATGAGGGCCTTTTTAAAATTTCTGATTTTTTGGACTTTTTACAGTTCCACAGTGTGCCATTTTCCTCTAAATGTTCTGGCTGTCTTCTTCATACTAAACCTGTACTATTTAATTTCTCCACGCAGGGGAAGTGGGGTTTCACTGCATTAAATTTTTTTTTTTTTACTACTTTGATTGTAAACACCTAAGTACGGAGAAAAAAAGTAAAGTCTTTAGCATATCTTAAAGATTACATACTATAGGCAGCCATGTAGCAGATTATTAAACCCTTCATCTCTGTTCTGACACAGAAATTAATTCTATCCTTACTGCTGGATAGCAAAATTATTAATCCTTAAAATCCCATAAACCGCTGAGGAATAAATTCATTAGACTGTTACAGACTTACAGAACCACTTATTGTGAATAAGGGTAGAAGAAACTGGCTTCTCATGGATGATTCAATCAAGTAAGCAAGTAGAGCATATTTATTTTCTATCAACAGAAACAAACCATCAAGAGCCACATTAACAGACTGTTCAGGCTACGTCTGTTTAGAAAGAAACCAACACACAAAGTTAACACTTTCTAAAGCATATTTTTAAGAAAAAGGACTAGTGAATGTAGAAGCTTTTAAATATCAGAAATTCTACTGCTATAGGTCAGTAAAGCTAAGATGAGGAAAACGGAAACATTCACCTCATCTAAGAAGTCAGTCTTTAACATTTGTCAATAACTATCCCAGCTAAACTAAAGACTAAAAAAAAAGTTCATTAAAAGCCTTTTAGCATGGTTCCATCTGTCACATATTGTTTGAAAACATATTGCTCATCATCAAAATATTCTTAATTCTAGTAAATGTCATGTGTCATCTGAATTCCAACAAGCATGCTGGACCTGTAGCTTCTGCAATTATGCTAACTCAAGGAATTACCAAAGATGTAAAAGACCTTTGTTTAGCTAAGCACAGCATTATTTCCGTTTCGCATCTCGTTTAATGAGCTATTCAGATTCTGAATGAAATTTCTAATGGACTCTATTGTGCACAATTAAATGCACGTGTTATAAAAAAAGCAATTGCTACATATTTACTTTTCCATCAGTGAGAATGCATAAACCATGCTTTATAACAATCAAATTGCGATCATCTCTCTCACACAAGTAGCTTTCTGAAAACTAAGGATATTCATGTCAGTGAGAAAGTACTGTTTGTTCTTCAGTGTTTTCACTCTTGTAGTATCCTATCCCTTTCTAGAAAATGCAGTCCTTTTCCTCAAGATCTCACTTCTTTATATCCACATCTGGAAACAAAACAATCTATTATTTATCTAAGCCTAAAAAGGGTTATAAGATATTGCAGAAGCTTAGGATACAGTCCTTATTTGATCTTCTGCAGAAAACCCGTGTATACTTTCTGAATTTACAATGAAGCCTTTCGTGGATTAATGTGCCCTCAAGAGCTCCATTACTTCTTTCTAAATCAATCTATTCAGAAAACATTCCCTAGGAAGTTTGGATCAAGTTACTGCAGCATGCAAAGGTAGCCCATTTGCTGAGTCCAAAATTCTAATAAAATTTTCCAGTCAGATTCATGATTCAGCAACCGCAGTGCTCAATGCTTGTCCTGCAGCTGACAATTGCATGAGCTTGTCTAAATGCCAGAAGGAACTGTTTTCTTGCTTCATTTAGCATTTTTGCCCATTCTCCAGAGTATTAAGTCTTATCGAAATGAAACAATTTCCTTAGTATGGTGCATGAAGCAATTTCTTTTTTTAACAGAAGAAAACAAAACAGTATATTGCAATATAATCATCTAACTTCACCCTAATCTGTGATACATCATTCTATAACAAGGTCAAAATAATCAATTAGGCATCTAATCCTTGGATAAGCAACAGTCTCACCTTGATCTGAAGGTATAACTACAACTTGAATGTTTCCTTTCCTCCACTCTACGTAGCAATGTATTTCACTTGTAAAAAGCTCACAGCAAACACTCTTGTATTTGTACCATTCTGAAAAAACTCTTTCATGAAACTGTTTTTTATAAACTTCCTAAGAGCCTACCAAGCTTCACTTTGGTACAACAAACTAAAGGTTCATTTTGGTCCTGTTAGTCTGTGCTGAAGTATCTTGCACAACTTTATCTTGTCTTTGGATCACTAATCTATACCACTAAGTTCAATAGGAGCTAGTTTGACAAATGTAAGCAATCGGGCGTCAAGTAACACACAGGTTTTATACTAGCTCCAGAGGTGAAGGCTTCACCCAGTCTTTTATTTTCCGTTTCACAACTGTATAATTCTTGCAAAGAAAAGTCGTGGCAAGTTTGTTTGTCTTAAATTTCCATCATCTCTTACCCTTGTACTTTGTACTAAGGGCAGGCAAATAATTAATGAAGATTATACTGATGATAACCCTTTTGTAGACGCAATTCAAAAAAATCCCCCTACTCCGGTCTGCCAATATTTGGATTATCTTCAGTACTACCACCTACCACTGCTCTCCAAGCTTTCTTTGTTGCACAATTCTTCACGTATTACCGAGAAATCTTTACAAAATCAGATCACCATTACCTTACGTGTGTGGACAAAGGCTTCTAGTGTTTTTAAAGTCTTGTAAAACTTTTTTTGTTTTTTTTTTTTAAAAACCATTGCAGTGGCACTGGTCCTTCAGAGAGACAACTGCTATATTTTAAGAGCACAATACCTTAGAAAACTTCCGCTTTCCATCTTCATAGTGAATCTCCACGTAATTGGAAGATAACAAATCACTGTCAAGAGAAGGAAACAAGAGGAGAAAATTCTGAATATTCCTTCTACTTTCATATTGTTTTACATAGAATTTTCACACCGTTTTTAGTTTCCTTGGAAATTGGTTAAAAAAAAAAAATCAGGCAGCTTGCGTCCAATAAATGGGTTACTGATGCACTGTGACGCAGAGCGTGTTTCAGACAGGAATTTCATTCTGCAATCTAATTTAGCTTTATAGTAAGATTATCAGCCTTTTAAATATGGAAAAAAAATTCAATGGCTTTGAATTTTGTTTGCTGCTAACTTGTACTGACAAAACATACGTTTATTTTGTTGTTGTTTTCAAATAAGTTTTACATTTGATCTAAAACCGCTATACAATATATGTAAGACTGGACAAATACATATGTGATTATCCTGAAGACAAGAGTAAGTTGTATGTTTTTATCTGTACTTCATCCACATCTGCAAAAACTTGGACTTTTCCTAAAAATTTTAACATTCTCAAAAAAAAAAAAACTATTCCTTTTCTTCCTCTCATCTTTCCTTCTCAGATCCTTTTCTTACTCTTAATTCTTCCCAAACCATTTTGGCAAAATATAACATTTCTGAAGCATAAAAAATTCCCATATTGTAAAAAGAATGTGCAATCTTTAATTTCTTTTTTTAAAAAACAACATTAGGAAGCCAGTGCATATCCAGGGATCGCTTCAATGCCCCATTCACATCTCAATTCACAATTAAAAACTCAGTATTATCATAGTTGGAACATACTGGCCTGGGGACAGCAACACAGTTAAACATGTTTACTGGCACCACAATGTATACATTACAAGTATTTTACTTAATACGGTCTAAAATACTCATCATTTTTCAGGCCTCTAAGTACTTACCCTTCTAAGTAAAAAATTCATGAAATGATCTGATTACAGCACAGATACGAAAAGAAAAATATTGCTGCTATGAATAAAAAAATATCCTTATGGAAGCCTGGTCTGACAAAATAGTTCTGATGGGAATTCATGACTAAAAACAACTTATAATAATGGGTATCTCAAACTGAGGCTATTAGCAATCCTTGTAACACTTTTACTCCAGGACTATCTGCTCATAAAATCAATTCTTCATGTTGCATTTATCAGGTGTTGCATTTATCAGAAAAGCTCCTGCAGAACTCAGTTACCAGCGGTTCTCCTAGCAGTCATTTTTCATGGCACTGAGGAGACCACAGTATGGGCACTCTGTGTACATGCAAAGTCAACAATAGGTAATAGATAGTCAACATAGATAATTACCAGCTTCTCATCATTTGTCTTAACCTTCATTTTGACAGCAATATTTTATAGATACACTTTGAAGTGTAGATTTAAAAATAAGCTCAATTGTATAAAATCATTTTTAACTTTCTCTATTTGGATCATGGTAAACCAAAAATTTTCTGCAAAACAATACAAACACTTCATAAATAGCATAAGCTCTTGAGTATAATACAAACAGCTCAGTATCTTTAGTGTGGCAAGGTTTGACGCTTCTAAAGAGAAATGTATATACAAAGTACTTAAACTTCTAAGTGTTGATAATGTCCTTTTCTTTGTATTTTTCATGGTTATTCTAAAGCATAAGGTCGGCTGTCCTCAACTACCTACTTCGATGGTCTAGACGAGACTAGAGGCAACTGACAAGCTGGAAAATGGGAAAATGTCATTGGACACAAGTTACCAAACAAAGTAAACAAACAAAAAAACATCACGAGGATGATTAACCACTATAATAGGGGCCCAAAGAATTTGAGAAATCTCTGTGCTCAACTGGAAAGAGCCCTGAGCAATCTGAACCAGCTGGACCAGACGACCTCCAGAAACCTACTCCAACCTTAATTATTCTGTGTTTATAACTGTAGGGTTTTGTTCAATCCTTCAGTGCAGCCCACTGACGGAATTTACAGTCTCATACAGCAGTTCTAAGTGAAGTTGAACTGACACACTAGTAATAAATTTGCTTGTCTTGTGAAAGCAATGCTCACACTGCATAAGATTTTCTTAGCTGAAAGTTAGTCTTGAAGTTGTTTGCTTAAACTTGTTGCCTGATAATACTACATGCAAAGGTCATAGGTTTCTCTGTTACAAACCCGCCTTAGCTTACATTCAAAAAACGTTAATTTCAAATCAGTACCAGCTCATTTCTAAAATCAAAACCTTCTTTTCCAGTGTCACTGGTTGCTTTATCTTTCCTATTTTAGTAGCAACAAAGTAAGTACTTATCCCAGAAGACACCTACAGACCCTGAGATTACTAACACTTTGCCTGTTTGGATTCACATTTTTACAGACACTTCTACTTGAATCCACTGTCTGGATCTTCAAACCAATGCCAGGAACAGGACTGATCTACGTGTTTCCAAATCTAGCACACTCTCTCACCTCCTTTTTTGGCCCTCTTCTACTCATGTTGTGAGTCTGACCTCAGAACTGCTTTCAGTGCTCTCCAGTGCTTTTGCACTTTTAGCTGAGCCACTGCAACTCAATTATTTCTTTCATTTGACAGCCTACTCCATCCTTTACCTTCTCATTACTTCCAGCTCCAAGGGGATTCTTCCTTTAGGTAATTAACACAATACCCCACAGGATAGGGTATCTGACATGATATCCTTATGATGGAATAGTCCTTCCTACAAGTATAAAGCAAGGATACAGCAAACACTGGCTTTTCCAGTAGTCTCTCCACTGTTCTCACTGCTGATTTACCATCCCTATGGACCAGCTGGATATGAGGCACATAGATGATATTCTCTATACTGAGAAATTCCCTCCAAGGAAAATTAGGGCCTGCTATTCATAATATACCTCCCAAATGCCACGCTGCAACAAAACGTACCTTTAACTTGTGAACCACCCTTCTGCTAAATGTAACATAGTATCTTACCACTTAGAAGTCAGTGTAAGGCTAAGAAGCTATTGCAAGGCTACTGTCTTCCACAAACCCATTCAGCTAGCATGAGGTTATTCTACAAAAAGATACTTAACACTAGTTTCTGACCATTAATATGTTCTTAAGCTTGTCACATATAACTATCAACATACTGCAAAGGAATAACATTTACCACAGGGCAATTAGAATTTTGAACACCTAATTGAAAGACATCAGTAGACATCTCCTTAAATTATGCCTCTACCTTGCTTGTTATATGATTTTTGCCAGTCACCTACCACACACTTTGGACCGCTTACAGATATTTGCGTTTGTCTGTTGTTTCTTTCATTTTCTGAAATCCTTATAGCTTAATGGAGGGGAAGGGAAGAACACCAAAGAGGGCATCATATTTATTCAGGCCCTAGTCAGCTCATATCAACTTATCCTATTTCAAGTATCATTCTACATCAGCAAATATCCTAAAGAATATCTTGCCTCCAGTTGTCCAGAAATCCCTCAACATATGCTACAAATCTGTGACAACCATGAGCTTTTTTTTCCTTTTTTGGGGGAGGAGGGGTATGGGGAGACTACTCCTTTAATAAAACTAGTCTCAGTCCTGCTCTCTAGATGGACAGTAACATCAGCACAGAGACATTTGTAATATGATTCTATACTCTTATAAGTGATTAATATTGAAACGTGATACCACAGAATGCAGACTAGGACTAAGAAATTCAGTGAAATTGTTCCACCGCTGCTGCAAAGAAAAAGACGGAATTTGGGTAAAAGAACTTGATCTACCTGTTGCTAAAGCTGGGGCCTAACATCAGGAGTAATAAAGGCTGTAGAAATAAGTGTAGAACTGCTATTGCATATTTTCTCCACTAAAGTTTTTACCTTTAAATTTGACAACAGAAAGGGGAAATTCTTTGAAGAACAAAGAAAAAAACATAAAAACATGAACACAAATCCAAATAATTTTTAACCATTTTCTCCAGCATGAAAGACAGATGCACAGAAGAGCTATAATTTCACACACTCCTCTAGTAGATGTAATGGGCACCAGTATGCAGGCTGCATTAAAAAGAAGTCTGGAATACAGTACTTAAGGGCTCACGTAGAAGTACAAGCTTCTGAGGAATGAGATACAGAACACATACACAAAATAGGGTTCCTCAGCAAAAAAAAAAAAACAACTCTTTTCCCTTTGTATAAATTAGAGAATGCCTAAATTTACCTCTGAAAGGCAGCTCTGAATTTTAGAAAACATGCTGTGCCTGCACTGTACTGTGCTCCCTCACCTTTCAATTGATGCTTACATTTCAGCAGAAATGCATCCATTATGGCAAATCTATTTTTCAAAATTAGGAGCACTGGAAACAGCACAAGCTTTAACTGAAACAATTGTATAAGTAGTGGCCACACCAGACAAAGACATATTTAGACCAATGACTGACCAAAAAAAGGAGAAAAAAAAAAAAAAAGACACAAGACACATTAATATGATGCTTTACAATGAATGCTTATATCAAATTGCAACACAAATTCAGACATGCAGAAGGAACTCATGAAAAAAGGTGTAGTCTGCTACGACCTTTTTTATAGTTACCTCCCTCCTTGTTTGTCTTGAATAATTGTTTTTATTGAGCTGCCCTACATTATTAGCTCTTCTACTCAAATTATATTGAGAGTGGCTTTAGACTCGAGCAAAATAAGCAGCAAAGGGATATGCCCTTCCTGATAGCTGCCTTCTCTGAAGGCACAGGACAGCTGTTTGAGCAACGTGTCCTTTCCAAAGAGCTCACGTCCACCTCCCCGGCACACATTCCACTGCTGCAGCTGCCATTAGCAGGAGAGCAACAAGTGGCTTGCCTCAGCTTGGCATCCAACTAATCTTAGGAAAACATTTGTTTTGGCCAAGTATAGCCTATGAAATGACTAAAAACCGTCTCATACACAAGTAACCAACTTATCTTCCAAGAGCATAGTATGAAGCCTAAATCAGGCTACAAGTGAAGTATCTTCCTTGCACACTTAAGTTATCTTTATGGTAGCCTACTACCAATCAATGTGTTTTTAAAGTACTCTGAGATGGTTCAAGCTCAATA